ATCGACTTGAAAAATTTTGACTTTGCATCAAGAAATTTTTATTTGTCTCACATTACACGTAAACATTGTCAAAACATTTTTTTTGCACCTAACATACATTGACTTCCTTTGTCGAAGCGATAACTTCTTCCAACAGCCCCATAAACCTAAACCGTTTCTAGTAATTGCTAAATCGTGACAGATAAACTCGTGTTGAGGGCGCTTCGGTCCCCCGGTGTGTTAAAAATATTGTCGACCATCACGTCCTCGACTTTTTAATGGCTCGTAATATCGATTTTGATTCCACTGTCGAATTAGAGACTCTATATTTGGCTCGAATTTATAATTTGTGGAGTATTGTGTCCTAAGCCCGACATTCTGAAAGCTTTCTTACGAATATGTAGAGAATGAGAGATTTTATTTGAATAGTGCGAGTCGAAATGTGACTAGAATAACACTCTCTGAGGATTTTCATCGGGTCAGGGTCGAGGTAAAATTGACCTTCTAGCTCCCATTTAACGGTGAGTTAAGTGAAGACCTTCAATTTCTCATTTGTATGATCATTTTATGGGTAGAGAGAAAGGAGAAAAATGTCATTTCGTGTGATTCTCCAGCAGGAAATGTCTTGATAGTATTTTAGTGCCTTGCAGGATTATAAAGTTTATCGAAAGAACAATAGGGAATGARGGCGACGGCGTTATTTATTAAGCTGCAGGACTGCCAAGTCGTCATAACCTGGACGCTAGGATACAATTACACTTTGCTGGATTTTATTACTTTGCAGGAAAATTCCTGCGGAAAAATGCCCAACTTTGTAACAATGCAATATGCATTTTCTATTATTCTTATTAAGAAAGAGCACAAAACACTAAGAAGTTTTATTAAAGTAGAATAATGAAATATGGGTTTTAATTGGCGCAGTCGGTAGGATGCAAAAAATTGAGTGTTTTTTTTCACTTGTTGACAAAACGATTTGATCGTGGGATTGTCTCAATGGAACAATAATAAAATTAAAATTGTATTAAATAGAATGTCTGCGGTGAGAAAACAATTCGAATGCTTGTGGTTGGTAATAATTAATTCCGACATATAAAATATTTCGTATTTCTTGGGATTCCCCTTTCACCGGTGTGTGCAATTCGTTCTAATTTCTCATCGAGGTGATTTAGCGTTTGTTCCGGTTTTCCTATTAACTGCCATCATCCCAACTCATTGAATAAGTAATGCAAATCCCAATAATCCCGTCCATCGTGTCCTGTCTTTCTTTGTCCTGAAATTGTCTCTGAAAGGGGCTTATTTCCTGAAAAGTACGACGATGAGATGTCATCACGTCCCGGCATACAATTTGTCATAAAGTTGACACAAACGGACTGTCACGTGATAAATTACACATCGCGTCGGATGTGCGAAACAATTTAATGCCGTTTCCGTAACGATTTTCAGATAAATAAAGAAACGTGGGCGAGTTTTAATTGTATCGATTAATGTGCGATTGGGATTAAACGGCTTTCACCCGGATTATTCCGGGGAAAAAATACCACTGATGTTATTTATGACGTCCTGATTCCTCGATATTAATGGTCGTCGAGGGTATTAAGACGAAATAAACGTCCTTTTTGATAATAAATTGGCACTTTACATGCCAAATCCGACCCTGATACGCGGCTTTATTAAAGGGATTTTGTTCCGGGGGAAGCCCCRACTYCACAGGAATGTTACCAAATCCTACTTATGTAAATATATGGTGTGGTCTCTTCAGCTAACTTCACCAACTTATGTCACAACTTCATGCGGTTCATTTAACGGGACTTGTCTTGATACAACAGACCGCACAACTTAAACTTTCAAAGCTTCAAAGTTAGTGATTATCGAAGGCTCTTTTAGACTATTGGAACTAAAACCGCTCCGCTGATTATTATTCAATGGGGCAAAAAGACGGTTTCCGAACAGTCAGGCAAGAGGAGGGTTGAAAGTGACACTTTCCACGTGTCAGGAAAGTAAAGTTTTGGGTCAGTTTTCTAGGGGGAAAAGCTTATTAAATATTTTTGACGCCCTACCGACTGCGCCATTGTGGACTTTTATCAATTATTAGTAAAGCGGAAAGTTTGGCGTTTTTATATTAGTTGTGAACAATAATTTTACAGTTGTTTTTTTATTATTGATAGTAATGGTCAAGTCGTAGAAAACAAGAAAGTTGTATTTTTAGTTGTGTGTAAATTACGTTACAAATTATTTTACTGGTGTGAAATATCCTTTTCTTGTAGTTTCTTTATTAAAAACATGCTTTTTGACGCCCTACCGACTGCACCATTTAAAATGTTTATTAATTAAAGCAAAAATAGGAAACGGCCAGTGAAGCAGAAAGAGGAAGAATAAAATAGTATAGAACTTAATCTTGTTTTCTATTTATGGGAAGTTGTTTTTATCATTGACAAAAATAGTCAAGTGGTAGAAAATAAGAAGCAGTTTTGCGCTTGTTTGATTTAATTATTTTAGAAATATTTTTACCGGGCAAAAAAATGGGCACTTTTTGTACCTCTTGTACTAAAAAGAATTTTTTTGACGTCTTACCAATTTTTAATATTAATAAAAAAAATGGTAAGTGGAAAAAATATGGTTTTTCGATACTTTGTGCAAAGGAAGTTGTTTTTTTTTATTGATAACAATGGTCAAGTTATAGAAGATCAAGAAAGATGTACTTTTTTAACATTTGCGAGTTGATTGTTTTATAAATCCCTTGTATGTGAGGAAAATAGTCACTTTCTGTACTTTTATCACTAAACCGTATTTTTGACGACCTACCGACTGCACCAATCAAGATTTTTATCAAGTAAAATGAGCACTTTCTGTACATTTTCTACTAAAAAAAATTTTTGACGTTCTATAGACTGTCAATTAAGTCTTATAATTTGAAAATATTTAAATTGGTTAGGGGAGCAAAAATATATTTTTTTTGGTACTTTGTGATAAAAGTAACTTTCCAATAATTGTTTTTCGTAATTAGGAAGTTGCTTTTTTTCATTAATCTCAACGGTTATGTGTTGAAATTTAGTTTTTTTGACATTTGTGAGTAAATTGCTTCACAAATCATTTGTATGGGAGGAAAATAGTCATTTTCTGCACTTTATTACTAAACCGTATTTTTGACGACCTACCGACTGCGCCAATTAAGATTTTTATAAAATAAAAAAAACGAGAATTGGCGAGAAGTGCAAAAAGTTGGACTTTTTTTCGCTTTGTTGAAGTGACCAAGTCGTAGATTACTTTACTAAATATTTTTTAAGTGAAAAATGAACACTTTTTGTACATTTTGTACAACAAAAAAAAATGACGTTCTATAGACTGTCAATTAAACCTTATTAATTAAAAATGAATTGGTTAGGGGAGCAAAAATATGTTTTTTTTGGTACTTTGTGATAAAAGTCACTTTACAATAATTGTTTTTCGTAATTAGGAAGTTGCTTTTTTTCATTAATCGCAACGGTCATGTGATGGAAAACCAAGAAAGTTTTATTTTTTTGACATTTGCGAGTAAATTGCTTCACAAATCATTTGTATGGGAGGAAAAGAGTCACTTTCTGCACTTTTATCACTAAACTGTATTTTTGACGACCTATCGATTGCGCCAATTAAGATTTTTGTGAAAAAAAAAAAACGAGAATTGTCAGAAGGGCAGAAAGTTGGACTTTTTTCACTTTGTTGAAGTGACCAAGTCGTAGATTACTTTCCCAAATATTTTTTTAGGTGAAAAATGAGCATTTTTTGTACATTTTGTCCAAAAAAAATTTAATTGAAAATAAATTGGTTAGGGGAGCAAAAATATGTTTTTTTTTTCTTCTTCTTTGTAAAAGTAACTTTACTATAATTGTTTTTTGTAATTAGGAAGTTGCTTTTTTCATTTATGGCAACGGTCAAGTGGTAGAAGACCAAGAAAGTTTTATTTTTTTGACATTTGCGAGTAAATTGCTTCAGAAATCATTTAAGGGGGGGGAAATAGTCACTTTCTACACCTTCATCGCTAAACCGTGTTTTTGATGACTTACGAATTAAGATTTTCATCAAGTAGGAAAACAAGAATTGGCAAGAAGGGCAGAAAGTTAGACTTTTTTCACTTTGTTGAAGTGACCAAGTGTTAGATTACGTTACGAAATATTTTTGTAAGAGAAAAATGAGCACTCTACATTTTGTACTAACAAAATTTTTTTGACTGTTAATCAAGTCTTATTAATTAAAAATAAATTGGTTAGGGAGTAGAATTGCTACTTTGTGGTAAAAGTAACTTTAAAATAATTGTCTTTCGTAATTAGTAGGTTGCTTTTTTAAGTTCACTGCAGTGGCAGAAGATTAAGAAAGTTTAGTTTTTTTAAGTAAATGGTTTCACAAAACATTTGTAGGGGAGGAAAATAGTCACTTTCTGCACTTTTACGGCTAAACTGTATTTTCGACGACCTACCAACTGCACTGATTAAAATTTTTATCAATTGAGAAAACAAGAATTGGCGACTTGGGCAGAAAGTTGCACTTTTTCCTCTTTGTAGAAGTGACCAAGTGGTAGATTAGGAAATATTTTTCAGAGGAAAATGATCACTTTCTGTACATTTTTTCTCTCATATTTCTTTTACGACTCACTTCATATGTAGCCGATTTTTATAGCGTGTAAAAAGACAATTCGATTTTTATGTTTGGTATTTTTCTTCCAGCACATATCAAGCTTCCGTGATAACAATGACAAACTGAAGGGCTTTGACTATTGGAGAAAATACAAGACTGCATTGAACGGTAAGGATAATTTTTATTTTTGAAACTTGAACGGTAATTTATTCAAATCGAGAGGTTTGAGTTAATGTGTTAAATTTTTTTTTTCTTGTGATTAACATTTGATGTGTTTGTAATCACAGTTTCACTTCCGACACTTGAGCTGAAACGATGCTTTCTTTTGTGTAATGGATTTATGGTGTGTTAAGGTTAGACCATTTAGATTGAGCAAAAGTGAAAGCGAGGGTAAAAAATTGAAAAACCCACAAGTTAAAATTTTTTATTCAACAAAAAACTGTTACAATCTTATTTATTTTGAACAAAAATTACCACACACGGCAGTCTGAAGCTAAAATCCCTAACACTCAAACTCCTCCTCATACTGTTTGGTTCTCTCCTCCTGATGGGCCACCTCATGTCTCACCCTCTCAACATACACCTCGGGGGTGTCAAAAGGAGTTCCATCGGGGGCGATTACTGGAATATAATGCGAATAACCCCCAGCATACCTCACTCCCACTTTAGCCAACTGATGCGCCAGGAGGTGTTGTTGGCGGGCTTCGCGCACTTCGGGGGTGTCCACCGGGACCCCTTTTTTCGTGATAACAGGGATGTGATAAGGCCCGTCGTGATAACTGGGGTATTGCTCCTCGTCGTCTTCTTCATGGACAGAAGCGTGGGCGAGGAGGTGCTGGAAACGCGCCGCTTGCACTTCCGGGGTTTCCTCCGGGTAGTGGCGAGGGGAGCGGCGGGCCCGGGGGTGGTGGAACTCCGTCGGGATTTCTTTAATTCAATTATAATCAGAGTTGCCAGGTCTGGTGATTTTCACTAGATTTGGGGATTTTCATGCTTGTTTGATAATTTGGTGAAAACTTTAATAAAATTTTAAAATCTGGTGATTTTTTAGAAATAAAAAAAAACTGTTTTAATTATTAATATAGTAAATTAAATCAAAAATAAATAATACTATTTTCGC